GGTGGTGCTGGATGACTGGTTCATACGCAGGCTTTTCTCTCCGGAGGCTGCAGCTCCTTTTTTTAGCCATATGCCCTGTCAGTTATCTGTGACATCCTGTCACTGTGCTCACTTCATCTAATTGGCTACCGGCCTGGCTTGATGGACGGGGGAACATTCAGAAATGTAATGGCGAGCAAATCTAATGACGTTGTGATGTTTTATTCTGCCGTACAACAGTGAGTAGGTTCATTTGCAGTCGTGCACTGCTATTTCTGAAAAGAGGGGACGACGGCAGTGCTGCCCTCTGGGTTCACCAGCATCTGCACATGGAGATAACGGTCTGGAGAAATCAATTTTCTGATGGTGTCACAGACATGCCATGTGACCCTGTGGTTAATTAAACAGACAATTCTATTCTCAGTTGAACCATCAGTGGCTCCATGAAGTCTGGCTCACTGGAACCTGCTTCTTCAGTAGTGTCCACATCTGTGCGTTGTAGTAAATGGAAATTGCATTATGCTAAAACATTATTAAGGGGAGAAGATAACCAACACACCACAGCACTGAAGCCACTCGAGCTCAGTGAACCCACTCAAACTGGAGACTGGGTCGTCAGTAACCAGGGCTGTGAGACTGAAAAAGTTTATCTCACGGCAGGGTTACAAACAGTGTTTACCTTCACCAAAAACAAAGCTCTCTCCAAAATGTTACTATTTTATAGATTTATACTTGTCAAAAAGTGTACTGTCTAATGTCATCTGCATCACACAGCAAACTGCTGGGAGATGCCAGAAACTGGCTCATTAGCGATTGTGCGGCTGTAATTGATTGAAGGCTGCATGGATATGGAAGGGCATGGAGAGTTGATAGTGCAAAGAGAGCAATATTACAGTTTAATTGGCAGGATGTGATGAATGAGGCTCTTCATTGACACTTCATCGCTTCACTAAGCATTGGTTTTAATGCGTGTGCGTCGGAGGACGAGCTGCAGCGAATTTCCACATTTGTGATACTCAATAATAAGATGCTGTGTTAACATTCACGTAAATTAGAAATTGTTGATGTTGAGATGAGTACTTTGTGTTATGTTTAACATATTCAAGTCAATTTTAGGTTGAATGTGCCTAGGAGACACACATTTTAGTAGGTTTTTTTTGTTATCAAAGTAAATGTCAGTATTTGGAGGCGCATACAGGGAGTCAACTGTGACTGCATGAAAGGAGGTGACGGACTGTTTACATCCACGTGAGCCGGTGATTTAATCAAAGGTGAACATTTCCTCCTAATATTGGGTTTGTCTGCTGCTGTGTATTCAGTCCAGGAGAGAAATATTTGGGCCTCATGTTTGTTTGTTTTTTAATTTTGATTCTAGTTTTAAAACTGTTAAATCCTTGAGACAAATGTGTTTTGTGAATTTCAGCAATACGAATAAAACTGGCCTGAGTTGTTAAATGAGTTGTCTTCTGAGGAAAAGCGAGGATGACATGTAAACATTAAGAACACGTCCGTTGTTGAAGTCATTGCATTCATCATGTTCTCTCGGGTTATTGTCCTGAGACATGAAGCATCAAACACTGAGCAGAGTGATGTTATTATCTGAGTTATCACACAGAGACACATCTGGCAGAGGAGGTGATCTGAGTGGAGACCACAGGCTGGGCCACAGATGCCACAAGTAAACTGAGGAATATGGACCATTGTCCTTGGTCAGGAACCAGTGTTTACAGTACTACGGATTTTGTTTAAGCTAAACTAATCCCTGTGCTGCTTCTTTACTACTGACAGGAGACACTGATATTGAGTTTTCCATCTTTCAAAACAAAGGTAGATTAAATTTAATTTGATTTCTGTAGGGTAGCATTAAGACAGAATTATCTCTGCTATGATGGATTTCCACGAGGGGCTCGGGGCGGGGTTGGTTTGTCTTTTGGTGGATGGGGGGGGGCTCACTTTGCAAATTTTGCTTAGAGCTAGGGGCAGCCCTGCTGGTGGTACATGTGCTGACTGGCTATTGGCTGGTCAGGGAAAATCTGACCATTACCATAAATGTCCGTTCGAATCGGTGCGACTCTGTCACATGCAGATACAGAACTGTCATCTTAGGTCGACTGTCAGAATGAACAATGGGTAAATGTGACATGGAAGGATTTAAACTAAAGCTAAAAGGCTGAGGACAAACAAGTCGAAGAGCTCATTAGTGAAAACAGTCGAAGATTGTGATGATCAGGAAACAGACTTTCATCTGGCAATGATTTTTCTTTACTGCATTCACCAAACAACGTAGTGATTATTGGTGACTGGAATACAGCAAAGATCCTGTTGTGTAGACCATGGGATGAATATTTGTTCTGACAGCAGAGTTCAACCAGTGACTTGACAGAAATGATCATGCAGTGGGACAACGTCCAACTCCTGAGCTCACTATGACTTACAGCACGACACATCACACACATCAGGATCTGTGGCACTGAAACTAAATAAAGACATGTGATCACATATTTCAAAAGTCTTCTCCAGCTCAGGTTCCGACAATCAATATGTCATTTGGTTTTTCTTGACGGGCAGCCCGTGGGGATTGTTGTGCTGGGCTGACAGCAGGTGTTTGTGGAAGGCATACACTGAGCAGACAGCCCTGTCTGGACCGAGAGGGACCCTGCAGTCCATACTAATGAGTTATGATCGTGTGTGTCTGTGTGTGTGTGTTGGTAGGACAAACATAGTCCAAATATTCACATTTTCACACAGCAAGTCAGGGACGAGTTGTTTACATTCAGACGTTCAGTTTATTTCCACATATTCAGGATTTGTCTGTTTGTCAGGTCAGAAATCTTTAAAGGTCTTTTCCTGTGTCTGCTCTCAGACAGAGATAAAGTCTGAGCAGATGGATTATGGGAGAGGAGCTGCGGGCCTGTAAGCACATTTTCTGTTTTTTATCAGATGATAAAGTATTGGGAAAAGTTAGAGACCAACCGGACTGTCACGTTCAGCAAGTACTGAGATATAGAACCCTGTCGTTTCTGCACATTTGTCTTGAACTTTATCTATCCATCCATCCATCCATCCATCCATCCATCCATCCATCCATCTATAACTTAAGTTTTAAAATATTCTATTAAATATAATAAGCGTTCTTGCCTTCAACTAAAAAGGTCAGAGGTTCGATCCCCTGTCTTTCTGTGTGGAGGTCACATGTTTTCCCGGTGTGTCCACAGGTTTTCTCTGGACGCTCTAGCATCCTTCAGGATTATGTTAATTAACCCGAGGTAATGTGAGTGTGAATGGGTGTTTGTCTCCATATATGGACTTGTGCTTGAACTGTCCCTGTTGTGACCTTAAAAAGGATTAAGTGGTGGGAGATGGCAGATGTTTACGTTAGGTACAACTCAGGGTTTTCTTTTCCTTCTAAAAATAAAACATCCAAGGATGCATGAAATTTGGTTTTCTAACAAGCATAGACCTTTTGGTGCAGAAAACATGACAGTTAACAAAAAATGTCTCCAGGCTCACCTCACAGATTCTCCATACTGTGTCTTCCCTCTGGAGTGTAACAGTGGAGCTGGCAGTAACCTGCTGCTGGAGGAGGCGGGACGAGCCGGGAATATAAGCTGATTTGGCACAGTCAGATGAAACAGCCTCAGTCTTCAGTGAGAGGTGACTCTGGTCCAGAGGCTCAGTCCAAGTGTTGGATCAACCAGGACGAACAGATGGGAATTCAAATGCTGAAAAATGACAAGTTATCAGTTCATGGGAGTTATCGATTAAGATTTTGTCAAAATGTGGTGGTATTTGGATATATATGTACATACAGTATATACATGGCTCATCTCTGCTAACTGCTAATTCATTTTAAAGCCAAGGTAGCATATATACCATATAGCGATAATTTGTTCAATACCTGTGTGTATTTGTACTGAACATCCAGTACTGAACAGTTTGTGATGGATACACATGCTGTACTGTTACACACTATACACTGGGAAAACAATGAAATCCTAATGAGGAAACTCCCCTGATGCCATCCACAAAATGTAACTTATTGTGCACGGATGAGAATGTTTTGTTGTGCTGGACCATAGCATCATCATCATCATTCCAGACATAATAAAATACACTCCTTTCACAGAGAAATTACCATACAACATCAACGAGGATGTTTTTTTCTCAGCCCCTGTTCAGCGACTACATGGATCATTTTGACAGAAAGCAATAAGGAGGACATCAGTAGGAACTGTAACAAAGGAGTTAGCTCCAAAGGAAGTTTGTGGCAAGTTAATATTTCCTAGCATTTGCACTGGTGAAAAATTAATTATCCTCCTCTGTTACAGCTCCATCCTGACGATTTAGTGCATGGCAATTTGACTTGTGCCTTTAATTAAAGCCCTATTGCATTTCCTGTCACACATTTAACTGGAAGTAGGAAAAAGAGCGTCTGAAACCCTGCCAGTGTGGGGAGATTTTTTTCCCCAGCCTCAGCTGATGGGATGATCTGTTTTGCTTCAGCACCTTTTACATCACACTGCAGCCCTGGGCCTCCAGGCTTTCTTTCTACAGGGCAGGCATTCTGCATTTAGAGTCTGATTTATACACAAACATGTGTACCACTGGGGCAGGCACAAGGCATGTTGGCGTCCCCCACTGCGACTGCCAGCAAAATAATCACCTTCCCACACTTCCATGTGCCTTGAAGGATAAGACTTAGAAATAAAACAAGTCTCATAGAAGAAACTGGTAAAAAATGAAAAGATAGGGATTAAAATATCTTACACCGGCAGTTTGAAGTAAATATCATATCATCACCAGGTGGTTACAGTCTTCATCACATGATCTTATTCTCGTTTTCACCTCCGAGCCGATCTGAATATACTTTGCTTCTTCTTTTTTGCTTTTTGTTTTTAAGTCTTTTTTTTTTACTGTGAATATAAATCT